TTCCCCCAATTAACATTTTGCAAGAACCCTAATTTTTCCAGATAATTGAGATTACCTTGTGCGAATTCAAGTGATGTCGTTGCTGCAGATGCAAATGCAATTAGAAGCAAGCTTAATTTTGTGTAATTTGGGGAAAATTTTTGTTTAGGAGCAAAAATTGAATAAGGAATACACTTTTATAGGAAAAATCGGGGGAAGAAAACAAATAAAAGCATAAACTAGCCGTTATGTGGGCCCCACAAGCTAAAAAACCACCGGATTTTCAAATTGGGTGGGAATCTGAGCAAAAAATTAATTTAATGGGTGGTATTTTAAAATAAAATTTTTTTTGGGTGGTTAGTTAGAAATTCAACACATTTTTGGGTGGTTTTTTGAAAATTTTCCTTATAATTATAATTATAACAATTATAATAATAATTATTATTAGTATTTTTTTTAAAATGTTCGATACAAAAAGAGAGTAGAAAAACTACCTATTATTCTTTTTTCATGTTTGTTATTATTTTCTATTTTTGTAAGTTGCACTATATTCACTTGGTCTACTACGACCAATGTTTGTGAATTATACATATAAAAATATATAAGTAAGATATTATTTATCAAAATTCTATGTCGACATATGTGCTTAATGTCAATGGGACACTAAAATAATAGAGGGAGTATAATTTTGTGAAAGAAGAGCGCGTCGGTAAAAAAAAATAATAAAATAAATAAAAAGTTAAAAATAATTATTTTCTTAACACGTAAAATCAACATATTATATTATTGGCCTAATTGGACCATATGTAATATATATGGCTGGTAAATGGGCTACATAGACTTTGCAAAACCCGTAAAGTTCTAAGACTTTGCTAACATTGATTTGAATTCACTTCAAGATTCCCTTGTATTGTACAGTTTCTCTTGTGTCCTAATTTTAGTAGTTTTTTACTTCTTTAATTTCATTAACAAAATCACAAACATATTACAACATAATATAAAAAATACATGATTCTAAAGTTTTAATGGTAAATCAATGGTAGACTAAAAAAATTAATGATACATGGCCATATTTATATATAATTATAATTACGAGGTTATTTGTATAGGGATAAAATTGTATTGTTAATTGGATATTCATATTAATTATAATATGTGGTGTGTTGCTATAAGTAAAATTCTATTGTCAATAAAAAGATAACTTTTTTTCAAAAGAATTGAATAATAAATTATTTTATGTATACTTTTTTATCCTAAACAAATCTATCCAATCTAAACTAATGTGGCATATAATCTAATTACAATAATATCTATTTGTCGCTTACATGGCTTGACACTTGGCAAAAAATTGGAATTCCAAGTGTCGATGTCTCGTGACTTGGCTGCAAGACCGACTTTATTTATTAGTGATATGATATGATTAGATTTTTTTTTATTTCCTTTTGATATGCTATTTAATTTGGGACACATGATGCGATGACTAGATACTTGGCCCATTTTGCTTAATTTGCTATTTAATCATTAGTGCAAAAATAAGCTTCACTATTTATGTATATAAGGTCAATTATGTGGGCATTGAATTAATTTTCACATACTACCTCCATTTCAATTTATGAGACATAAAAGATTTCAAAGTTGCATCTAATACAAAATTACAAACGGAGGTAGTAAAAAGTAAATTTGAGGGTAAATGAGTAAAAACAATTTGAGGGCTAACACTGTATTTTTTTGGCATAAAAGCATTACTAAGAGCAAAATGTAGGGGCAAATTTGTCCACACACTGTAGATAAGGATTTTTTTATTTGTGGGTTGTGGCTTTTAAAGGTTAGAGATTTGTCAATAAGTCTTTAGAGTATATGTCTTGGATTTGAGTTTTGTTTAGAGAGGGTAATAAAGTCTTGTCGGATTTTCCTAGTTATATTGTTCCTATAGATCTTCCTATGAATGAAAATTAGTCCACAAGTTGGGCCATCTTTATTAAAATTAATAAAAAAGGTTTATAAAGCATATAACTTTTTTTTTTTCAGAAAAAGGTAGTAGACTAACATTGAGGCGTTGTTCTCTTCACCTTATATTCGCTGAAATAAAATTATTTTTACTAAATTGAAAATATTTTTATTAATTCTCTATTATATTTCTTATTTACGGTTATTAATGTTTACTAAATCAAAATTATTTTTACTGAATGTTATGACTTAGAGATTTAATTAAAATCCTTGAAAAAAATTAAAATCCTTGAAAAAAAGGGGTCAAACAAAAAAGGAAGAATGAGGTCGTACTTAGAGATTTAATTTAATATGTGATCTCATATCCATTAATATCTCATGACTCTAATGCCTCTACTAGTCTACTGTAAATATGAGTTATATAAAACAAAAAAAACTGAACTAAAGCTTGGGCGTGTGGGAGAAGGGTTTTTTTTATTTTTTTTATTTTTTTTATTTATTTTTTTTATGGTGTTTAGAGAGCTACAAGGGCAGATGTTGAGAATCGATCTAAGGATCTCTTAGAACCGGGAGGGAGGGAAGCTCTAACCACTTGAGCTATTCCTCACTCTCAGAATGTTGAGGGAACCGGGAGATGGTTGTTAATGTTAGGAATCCTCTTTGTTTTAGGAAATTATCCCAACAACTTAAATATCTAATGAAAATCCTAAAATAGATTTTTTTTTTTTATTATTTATTCTCAACTCAACAGAGTCAACACAATTTAATTCCATTATCTATAGTATGAGGAGTTTTTTTTTTTTTTTTTTTTTTTTTTTTTTTTTTTTTTATATATAGGTTAGAACTGGAAAAAAAAAAAAAAAAAAAAAAAAAAAAAAGCATTAGGATGTCCTCATCACGAGGGGTACTCCAAATGTATTAGAAATAAGAATAGTAAAAAAAACTAGAGTTATTACAAACATCAATATTCATATTATCAGGAACTAAATATCCCACATTACCTATCCAATCTGCTACGCGATTTGCCTCCCGATAGATAGGATGCTCCAATTATGAAATTGAGAGAGGAGAGAACGAGTGTCTTTGATAACATGCTCAATATGCCAATTAGGGACTCTGTTCAAGTGTCTTTTATTGAGTTGATGACTTGTTGAGGTAAATATTGTTCTTTACCAACAAGTCAAATACCTTATCTTGTTCTAGAGTATTAAGGGGCTGCCCCTACTTTTGCTGGTTTCAAAGGATTGATAAACTCGCTAACGTAACACAATAAAACAGTAAAGAAGTTGTCCTTAAAGAATTTTAAAAAGTTAGTTTACTAAAGAAACGAATAGATGCACATATGAAAAAAGATGCAAATACTTTCCATTAATTGAAAGATAAAGTCAGGGCTACAATTGTACTAGTCGAAGGAAAAGTTACCTCCATGTTCTTACAATTGGAATAAACGATTGGTATTCAATACATGCTACTAAGCAAAGGGGAATCTAAGAAAGCTAAGAGGAAAGGTTAAAGAAAAAGAAATGTTTTTTGTTAATTGATTTGTTGATGTCTTTCCCTTGAGCGTTCTCTCTTATTTATATGCAATCTTGGTGCGGTTTACTCCACTAACTCTGATATGACTCTTGGCGTCAAACCTCCTTTGAAATTCAAAGTATTCTACTTGTCTTAAATCGGCTCTATCTTACTCCTTGGGCTTTCTAATTGGGCCTTGCCCATTAAGTCGTACCTTCATCGCTGGACTAAGTCTTTAATAATGTTTTAAAGTCCATTTCTCCTTAGTCAACATTCATAAGTCAAGATAAATCGGAAATTTTAATTTTGGGTGTAACATGATAAAAAGATTATCACCTTCAATTTGAATGTTCTGAATGCCGCAATGAAAATTTAGTTGGGCTCCTTTACGAAGAGTTGTAGCTTCTGCAATGAATGTTTTTATGTCGCCGAGGTTGAAAGTAAAAGCCTTAAGAACTGCCGCTATTGTCTCTAATGATGATTCCTGCTGCTGTTGAGTTGTTGTGGACCGACCCATGGAAGTTGAGATTGAAGAAGTTGATCGGAGATGGCTTCCATGATACAAGAATGAATGATGAGGAGAGTGTGTGGGGAGAATGGATGTGACCTCTCGAAATGGGAGATCCCATAGAGGAAAAGGTATCATGGTAAATCCTTAAACAATAGTACAAGAAGTTAGCAGGGTATCCATTTGTTTATAGAGTTATACCAGTAGTAAATTTTAACTCCCAAAACACTGGCATGAAAGGAGGATGGCTTTTAAATTTGACCATAGAGTCAGGTGATGCCCTAAAAAGTCCAACTCGGATTCGGGCACTGAGCCTCAGAGAATGCGTACCTACGTTGTAGTGTCAATTGACCGACGAATAGCATTACTCAAATTGACAAGTGTTGTGGTTTGAACCCAAATTGGAACCGCTAGTTTTCGTTTGTTTGAACATAAATTTGTTATTTGATAAACCAAATTCAAGAGTACGCAACAGGAGTAGATATATATTGTGCTACTTTTTTAAAGTTTCACAAATTTATTTTTGGAAAAATTACTCGGAATAATTCGACCATTGCCTTATCCGCCCAAAATAATCCTACCTTCGATTATTTTTTAATAATCCGACCTTTATATCTCTTCTGTTTTAAATGGTCCTAACCGGTCATCCAACTTGTTATTACAAATTACTAGACACGTGTCAGCCTATGATTGGTCAAAAAAATGTAAAACAAAATAAATAAAATTAAAATTAAATAATAAAGATAAAAATAAATTAAAAAAAAAAAACAGCAAAATAAAATTTTAAAAAAAAAAAAAAAAAAAAAAAAAACCCAAACCCATATTCCGGCAGCCCCTGCCACCGGCATTCCGGCCACCATCTCCCTTTCCCGATTCCGGCAACCCCCTCTCCTACGGTCCTACCTAACCCAACCCACCGAAACAAACCCCTTCTTTAAATTCCACATTATTTTCTCACTCTATAATTCTCCCTTCACTCAGACATTTCATCAAAACACCCTTCGTGCAACTCAACTAATCAACGTTACTGAACTCCGTTTACCTTACATCAATGGCGGAATTCACCTTCAACTCAAAACGACACAACAACTATTGCTACACCTTCAACTTCATCTTCTCATCAATCCCTTTTTGGGTTAACTCAATCCTCACCCCAAATCAACAACAAACAAAAGAGAGAAAACAACAAAGACTTAATTTACATAGGAGTGAGAAAATGAGCTTGGAGCAAATGGGTATCCGAAATTCGAGAACCCAGAAAAAAATATCTCGAATATGGCTTGGTATGTACATTCAACACAACAGAAATGGTGGCGCGTGCTCACAACGTTGCTGTACTTTGCGTATATCAAAGGACAAAGGTGGCTCAGCAATTCTTCTCAACTTCCCTGAACTCGCTCACTCCCTCAACTTGCTTGCGTCGAATTCACCGCGTGATGTTCAAGCTACTGCTGCTTTAGCCGCCGCAATGGAGTGATGGTTTCGGTGGGTGGGCTGGGTAGGAAGCGGAGGTGGTTCGATGGTGGGTCTACTGGAGAGGTGACCGTAGTTTTTTTTTTTTTTTTTAATTTTTCAATATTTTTTTATTATTTTGATCAATCACGTTCACGTTGTAACACCTGTGCAAACAATCTCATATCACAAATAGTAACCTGCTTAGCTAGTTTCAAGTCTCTTTGGCCCATTGGGAGCGGATTGGGTATAAAGGTGGGAATATTAAAAAATAATCGAAAGGTGGGATTATTTTGGATAAATACGGCAAAGGTCGGATTATTGCAGGCAATTTTTCTTTATTTTTTTGACTCATTTTTTTATATTTTAATTTTTATACTATGACTTGTCTTATCCCTCTAAAAACCCTTTTTTTTTTTCTTTTTTTTTTTTTTTGACATCTACAAAAACTGTAATTTTATACAAACATCCCTTGCTCTAATTTTGGAAAACTGACTAAAAATCCTCACAGCACTAGGACCTAAAATCTTGTCTTCAATTTACGAAAAAAAGGGGTAAAAACTTCAGAACTGACAATGACAATAGAAAAATAAAAACTACTAGAGTCGAATGTCACAAAGAAAAATCAATTAAGAAGCTCATGAAACCCAGAAAGGAAGTAAGAAACTTTGTAGAACCAAAAGAGCAATTCATTGAATCTATGGCTACAAGCTTTAAAGCATTAGTCTATTAGTACAATAACACAACTGATTCGGTTCATATGAACACAGGAAATCATTAGGATATTGCAGAGAATCACCTCATGAGGGATGATCCACCCGATTTAAAAGCATCAAGACATTCTCCACTTCAGCTGCAACTAGAAAATAGGCCGCCTTCCACCTCACTTTTAAGCTCCAACTACTTCAACCATTTCCTGCTCTACTGTGGCAGGCACAACAGGGTTATATTGATAGTGGAGTTCCCCAACATCGTCCCCGGTTAGCTTCTTCCATCCATCAGGTCCGACATGATAAACTGCAAAGTGAACAATTAGCACTAGTATTTACAAAAATGTCCAGCTGCATGTGCGAGATAAAATAACATACCACTGACAACTCCACCACTAGCTCCGTCACGGTATGTAGCATGGTAAATAGCTCTTCTAGCTAGCTCAGATGCTTCTTCAACTGTCATATCATATCGATACCTGGAGATGTAATGTAAACAATCCATAATGTCATAACTCATAAGGCAATGCAACTTGTACTAGTTGACTGAAACTCTGAATTTTTTTTATAACAAATGTAACTTATATGTCTACGAGACTGTGAGTTGAAGAATATTGAACATCCATATATTCATATTAAAAAAAAAAAAAAAAAAAAAAAAAAAAAGAGTATTGTCTAGTTTTTACTTTTGTCAGTCACTAAACAGACATTTCCAATGTATGGACTTACTGAAATGGAAACGACTAAAAAAGGTAACACGAAAAAAAAAAATGACAACCTACCCCAATAAATTAAGGACTCTTCCAAATATATATGGTCCTAATTTTTACCATACAATTTACAATATGCCACAAAAAAAATTGAAAAAGAGAGGGGTTTCATGAAATTGAACCCTATAAATAGAACAGCATAGACAGTAGCACTGCATCTCTTTAAGTTTTAACCATTATTCTAGAGAGGGCCGGGCCTCAAAGGATCGGTTTGCTTTGGTGGAAAACCTTTATTTCTCCATTTTCCTATGTTTTGTTGAAGGGTGGAAAACAATTTTTCCATAAGTAGAAACTAAAAAATTGCTTTTTAAAGAAGGAAAATCATTTTCCATATGTAACGAAGGTATGTATGCCACATTTCCTTTTTACTCCACTTTTCCATTTTCTCTCCTCTATCATTCCCCTCCCTTTTACTTCCATTTTCCTTACTTTTCCATAGGTTTTCCTATAATCAAATAAACAAAGGAAAACTTTTTTCACAATCATGTTTTCCATCAAAACAAACAGAGCCTAAAACTGCCACTAAAAAACAGCAGCAAAAAGGCTGATATGTTTCCTGGCCAGAAAAATCATCTAACTGCAGCAACAGAGTAACTACATATATAGACAACCTAGATACTTAGCATGTCAAAGAAACAAACTAGGCAGTAACTTTTAAGGGCTGAAGAATTCTCCTATATACAAACAAATACTGCAGAGAAATATAAACCAAAAAAGAGAGCAGATATGAAGGCTTTGATAGCACTTGGAGAGCCTAAAGGTATAGTAAAATCAGATGTCATATTTACATGAAGTAATACCCAATTAAATTCTCAGAGTTTTCACCAAAAGAAGGTAAGGGGTAAATAAGAATGTGATAGAAGGAAGCAATCACCTAAATGCTAATACTGGCCCATATTACGGATGGCCAAAAGGTGCAGAGCCTATATTTTGATTTTCCACTGCTTGCTATAGTCTTAATCCTAATATAAAATTCTTTCATAGTTGATTATGTAATGTGAATTGTGGAAATTCAAAAGAAGCATATGGATGCAACGTCCCAACCAGAGTTGAGTAAAGATTAGATAAACCTTATAAAATCAAAGGTTATCAAAGAAAGAAAAATGTTACAGGCTAAAGCAATCCAAAAATCAAAGAAAAAAGGTACCAACCCATTGTCAAGCACACCATAAGCATATGGGGAACCAGATCCAACAGAGAACCGCATTCCTTTGAGCCTTCCACCTTCACTGTCCACATAGTATAGACCAGGCCCCTATAAACCACATAGAAACACGCAACTTGTAACTTGGGACCCCATAAATCAAACTGACACAGACAACAGGCAAAATAAATTAAGAATCATTCTATTACCGTTTCATCCCACCCAGCAATCATTGTGCCAACAGAGAGACCCATGCCTCGGTAGTTATACAGAATGTTTGCTAGCAATTTTGAAGCTCCTGTAACAGAAATTCTTCGTTTGTTTGCAAGTTCATGTAACCGGCACTGCAAAATCATACAAAACCTGTCATTCTTTCATAGATACACATGGTACCAAACAACTAAAATGGTATCCTAATAGGCTAATAGCAATAGAACCACAAATACAGTGTCAACCTAGGAGCATGGATAGATTTGCAAAAATTAGCTGGAAATACTCTCCCCACCACAGACCCACAAGAGCTCAATGACCCTTCTCATTGTATACTACATGTAGCACACTAATTAAGCAGCTAAATCATTCAGCTGTCACTCTTTTGTGATTGATAAAAATAAAGTGCAAACTCCAAATAGTGAGATACTCAAAAATCTTCTAATCATCACCAATGCTGAGTTAATGAACACTTATTTTAATCACATTCTCTCCTCCTCCCACAAATGCCACTGCTCCTATTTGTTACAAGAAAATCTCCCCACAACTGCCAACAGCATGACATCAGATATGCAACATTGGACTGCTTGTATAAAACAACTAAGTTGGGAAGGGAAAGGTGAACCCCCAGTTAAAACACACAACAAAAGTAAAATAGCTAAGAAATCAAACACATTACATCCATGCACCCAAGTGTTCTCCATCAAAAGAGGATCAACAGTTTTTCTCTCTTGTATATTGAAAAAAAATCCATTATATGTAAAATAAGAGATAAACAGATCGGAATGTTTCACTCCATTGTGCAGTATTTCTTAGAAAATAGCAACAAATGCAGTATGCAGTAATTTCAGACATGTTAGTTCCTCAGAGGCTCAGGGCACAGTTTCACATTAGACTAGAATGATTAGTACCTTAATTCCCAAGTTGCGATGCCAAAATTGGCAGTCAGCAGCTCCACCAGCCATGGTGCCAAGCATATAAGGATTAATTTCAATAATTTTCTTCACAGATTGAGATGCTGCAAAAGTTTCAAACATCGTAAGTAACGGAGGGGATGTAACAAAGAATAAGTTAGGAACATTTATTCCAAACAGTGTTTGGAAGCTTTGCAGAAAATAGCACAATCCTAATATCATGATGGGTCAAGTCTATGACATACCTAAACCGCTCCAGCAAAAAAGGGACATTGTGTGTTCAGACAGCTAAACCAAAGCAAGTAGCTTTTTGTCATTTCTAGGATGGTTTTGACCTTCCGTATCTTAAAACTCCACCCAACCCCCTCTACCAATCAGTTTTAGTGATTATTTCTCCTACATGTCTATATGGAAGAGCCATTGCATCTAAATATCTAAGCCTCACAAACACCACTAGCAGTAAGATCCGACATACTCATGGTTCAGCAATTTGATCCTCGAACATCCACTAAGGGGAATTTAATTCCTTCAACAAAAAAGTGATTCATGCTCATAACTACTACTTGTCTACAATTACAAGGCCAGGTAAGAGAGATTCCAGTAATAAATTCATTTATTTCCCAATATATTTGTTCACAGACACCAAAAGCAAACTAAACAACCAAAAGTTGCAAAACAGATAAAGGAGTACAAATTACATAAGCTCTGAATTTAAGTAGATGCAACTTCTGAAGACAAGAATGGCAAAGTTCAAGGCATCTTACGGACACTACTACAATTGAACAGAACGTAACAGAATCTGCCTCTTCACCTTTCCTTCACTATTGAATAACAAAAAAGCTAAAGCCACAACAACAAGCAACAAAAGCAAACCTACTCAGTTTGAACAGCCAAAGAAGCTATTAAAAAAGGGTTAAGTAAAACATACATATGTATCCTCCCATGCTAGCTCGGGAATCAGCAGCAACCATGACACCATGTTTGAAGATAAAAGCAAGAGTTGTAGTCCCCTTAGCAGGCTTCACCATCTGTACGGCCTCTTTCTGAAATCCATCAAACTGGAAGAAAAAATGGGAATATCATTGTAAGTCAACCAAAATTTCAATTACACCGACTAATCCAAATAAATTATATGCCTACATGTATCAACTATCAAAACATCACGATATCTTACATCGGTAGGATTAGGGAGATCGAATGAAGGGGTCATTTGCAAGCCATCAAATACTGCATCACTTCTCCGGAAAAGCGGAGCAGTTGATTCAAGACCACTTGTGTCAAGCTTCATATCGTTATCCTACAAAATCAGTCGAAAAAGCAGGGAAATTAATCCTTCAATTACAGACTTTAGCAGCTAAAAACGGCATAACACTCACCCATATCACATAAACCGACTTATAATTCCAAATCATGCTAACTTCCTGGACAAACTAGATTCAAATGCAATACAATTCTCGGCTAATTCCGAAAAAGCTAAACCCTTAATCTCATCACTCTCTCAACCTACCGAAGATAAATTGAACTATAATATCGAATTATCGAGCTTCAACGGTCTACTAATTTATTACTCTCATCTAAAACAATCAAACAAATAAAAAAAATATATATATATATATACACAAATGTAAGAACTGAACTAATTTGAGACATAATAAAGATAAAAAAGAGCTAAAAAAAAACTCAAAAAAAAATGAGATAATCAAGCTCAGACTCTCAGTAGTGAAAAATTTCAGAACAAAATTTGAAATTAATCGAAAAACAAACATCATCAACAATAAAAAATAATACAGTACAACAATTAACAACCAAAAATTACAAAATGAAGAACCTAAAAAATTTGCGAATCTTAAACAATGGTAAAAAATTGATCAAGAAGCTAATCCAAATCAAATTTAATGTAAAGCTATAAGATTGCGAGTGATTAATTGAATGAACATACCTAGAAATTGCAGATCGGAGTGAGTGTTAGGAGAGAGAAAGAGAAAATTTGGGGAGGTTTTGCGAAAAAGTAATGAAATAATACTAGTACTTGTTAACGAAGGTTTCTTGCGCCAGAGTCTACCTTTTGTAAGTGGGCCTTATTTTTAACAAAGAAATTGGGCTTTTTTAAATGGGCTTACTTTTACAGTTTTAATTCGATGGGTAATGTGAGTATGATTTATGAGCTCATGGATGGAGGATGGGTTATATGTGCATCTAATTTTTTTTTTTTTTTTTGGTGTTATAACATTTTGTACAATTAAGGGTTTGTTTGGAATCGTTTTTTATTTTCAGTTTTTAAATTTTTTAAAACTAAAAAAACCAAAAATAGGATACAAGAAAAATGTGTTTCCACTTTTTTGTTATCAGTTTTTAAAATTATCATAATTTAAATAAGTTTAACCAATTTTTGATTCATTATATGACATACAGTATAAAGTACTACCTCCATTCCTGAAAGTTCGACTCACTTACTATTCATCAGGTCAAAATAAAATAACTTTGACCACATATTATGATTTATACAATAGAAATAAATTAGTAATAGATATTATATTTATGATATTATTTTTCGTAGATTAGGATAATTTTTGTATATATTTTGTATCTTTATCGTTCTAGGTTTCCTAGTCTTGTAAAACTCTATATATATTGATCAATAGTACACACTCCACATTGAGGAGTTTTCCCGAAATCTAACATGGCATCAGAGCTTAGGTTTTAGATCACAATTTTTTATTTTTCCAATTTCTTGATTTTGTTTTTTTTGGGACCTTTTTAGCGTCAACAAGCTTCCGCACTCAATTTTTTCAATTGATTTCCACTTTATGTTAATCAATTTCCACTTTCTGTCAATTGATTCCCACTTTCTTGGTACGCACTGCCATATTATTTCCTTTTGTGCCATGGCTAAGGACGATGAAACCCCCACTCCACCGCCTCCTCTGCCTTCGACGGAGTACCATCCGGCTCTCTCCGTCAACAACATCAAGAATGCTATCCCTGTAATTCTTGATCGGGAAAAAGTTCAATACTCTAATTGGGTGGAGTTGTTGTTTGAAGTCCATTGTCATGCATTTAATGTCCTCGATCATATTGATTCGACCGTTGCAAAACCAACTGATATTTCATCATCGTTGTGGCTACGCCTTGACTCCATTGTCAAGCAATGGTTATATGGAACCATCTCCATTGATCTTTTGCATACCGTCCTTTGTAGAGGAGATACCGCTCAACAAGTATGGAATAAGTTGAAAGACATCTTCTAGGACAACAAGAACACAAGGGTCGTCTACCTCGAAAACCAATTTAATACTCTTCACCTATCAAATTTTTCAGACGTTTCTTCATATTGTCAACAATTGAAGAATTTGACAGATCAATTAACCGCGGTCAATCAGCAAGTGACTAAGCAAAAGCTCGTAATTCGGCTAGTTTCAAGGCTCGTAAATACATATTACGATACGGTAGCTACCATTATTTAGCAGACGGACCCGCTGCCCTCCTTTGAAACAGCCCGTTCACGTCTTCTCCTTGAGGAGACTCGACGTTCCAACGATCAGGGAACAAATTAATTGTTTATGGCTCAACAAACGAATATTAGTGCTCCAACCACCACCGCACCTCCACAACAACAGCTCCAACTACAGCAGCGAACCGGCGGGGGAGGCGCCGACAAAGACGATGGTCGCGGCCAAGGGCACGGTGGCCTAGGAAAAGGGGCCAAAGGGCGTGGCCGTGGGAAGGATGTGGGTCAAAAATAGCAGCACCTCAATGAGGCTAAGCCCTAACTTGGGCCCAACAACCAGTACAACAAATGCAATGGGCTTCTGCACCCTTCCCTTTTACACAGCAGACCCAACAATAGCCACGGCCCAATGCGCCACCTCAAAGGGCAGCATATGTGGCCCAATACCCACAACAGTACTATGTCCCATACCCGACAAATCATCCTTCAAATTATAGGCCACCCATGACCCCCACCGAGTTATGTAACTCGTTTGCTACTATGTCCCTTCCGCAAGACAACTCTTGGTACGTGGATTTGGGTGCGACATCTCACATGACCAACAATTCAGGTACTCACATGCCTCTATTTAATTTGAGCTCAAATAATTATATTTTAGTTGGTAATGGTCATCACATTCTAGTTGCAGGTTATGGTCACACTACTTTACCTCACCCTAAACCCCCACTTGCCCTTCGTGATGTTCTTTTAGCACCTTAAATTGTTAAAAATCTTATTTTCGTTAGAAAATTCACTTCCGATAACTCTATGTCAATTGAATTTAATCCTTTTGGTTTTTCTGTGAAGAACCTTCGTACAGGGAAAGTAATAACGAGATGTAATAGTTTGGGGGACCTATATCCTGTCACCACCACCACCACCACTCTATCCACATGTCTTGCTACCTCTCTCACTGTTGCGTCATCACACCTTTGACACGATCGCCTTGGACACCCGGGAAATCCTACCTTGAGTCTTCTTAGGTCTAGAAATTTAATTCCTTGTATTAAAGAGCACGACTCCATTTTTTGTGTTTCTTGTCAATTAGGAAAACATGTTCGTTTGCCGTTTCATTCATCAACTAGTACTATTTCCACTTCTTTTGAGATTATTCATGTTGATTTGTGGACATCTCATATTCGTAGTTATCAAGGTCACAAATATTATTTGGTTTTATTGGATGATTTTACCCATTTTGTGGGGACTATTCCGTTAAAATTCAAGTCTCAAGCCTTTCAATCTTTTTTGAATTTTAGAGCATATGTATCAACTCAATTCGAGTGACCTACAAAATCCTTTCAAAGTGACCATGGTAGAGAATTTGACAACGACCCTTTTAAACTATTTTGTGTTACAAATGGTTTATTCTTTCGTTTCTTTTGTCCTCATACTTCTTCTCAAAACGGGAAGGCCGAACGCATGATTTGGACGTTAAATAATATTTCTCGCACCTTTCTTATTCATGCTTCGATCCCATCTTCCTATTGGGTAGACTCCTTAGAAACAGCAACATATCTTCTTAACATTCTACCAACCAAAACTCTATCTAATGACACTCCTGCTCATGCTTTGTTTCGCAAGACGCCTTCTTATGATCATATATGAGTCTTTGGTTGCCTTTGTTTTCCTAACGTGTCAGCTACAACCTCACATAAGTTGGCCCTGAGATCCACTCCATGTGTCTTCTTAGGTTACCCCACTAATCATCGAGGCTATAAGTGTCTAAACCTATCTACTAATAAGCTTATTATTTCCCATCATGTGGTTTTTGATGAGTCCACCTTTCCATACCAAAATTTGAACAAATATCGGATTGCAGACTACTCTTTCCTTGAGAGTTTTGACCCAAGTCCATTACTTTAGCCTTTATGGCATCATTCCTCATCACAAAACCAACCTCAAACCTCACATGTCATGAGGTAGCCCACACCGCAGGCAACCCGCGGCCGCCCACCCCTAGCCTACACTGCCTCATTCCTATGCGAATCAGGTAACTCCCTAAGGAGGTTGTAGCACTCTTCCTTATTCCGCGACCCATTTACGGACTAAGCTGCAAGGCCCAAACACTCCCTAACATGCGGCTAGCCCACAAGCTTATCCTCACAACCCACTTTCACACAATAATACAGCAAGCCCACCTTCACACAATGCAATGCGCCCACCTGCTTCAACCTACACGCCCCCTCCTTTGCGTGGGGCTTTGCCCATCCAACCCATTCGCCCTCCGCCACCTTTTCCACGTGTGACGAGAAGTCAACACGGGATTTCCAAACCAACCCCCAAATATCACCATGTTAACATGACCATCTCACCTCATAAATCACCGCTCCCTAAGTCATATAAAAATGCCCTTAATGACTCTAACTAGAATGCGGCGATGCATGATGAGTTTGATGCTCTTATTAAAACAGGGACTTGGGATTTGGTACCTAGGCCTACGGGGGTGAATATTGTTAATTGTATGTGGCTATTTAAACACAAATACAAATCTAATGGTGACCTTGAAAGGCACAAATCTCGTCTTGTATGTGATGGTAGGTCGCAGGAAGTTGGTATGGATTATGATGAGACTTTCAGTCCGGTAGTTAATCCGGCCACTATTCGTACTGTTCTCAGCTTAGCTATGGCTAAAAAGTGGTTGATTCATCATTTAGATGTCAAAAATGCCTTTTTACATGGTGATTTGCAAGAAACTGTTTATATGCATCAACCTCCAGGTTTTGTTGATCGGAGAGCACCCTCCTATGTATGTCGACTTCGTAAGGCTTTATATGGGTCGAAGTAAGCTCCTAGAGCTTGGTACTAGCGATTTGCGAATTTTTTGGTCAAATTGGGTTTTATCATTGCTAAAAGTGACAACTCTCTTTTCATTTTTCGACAGGGTGATGATATGGCATATTTGCTTCTATATGTTGATGACATTATATTAGCTACCTCTTCTAACAGGTTGCATAAGGGGATCATTATCTTAGTAGCAAAATGAGTTTCCTATGTCTGATTTGGGCCCTTTGAGTTGCTTCTTAGGGATTGCGGTGACCTATACTCCTTCATATTTGCTACTTTCTCAGCAAAAGTATGCATATGAAATTTTAGAGCGTGCAGGTACGGGCTCTTGTAAACCTACAACTACTCCAGTCGACACTAAGTCTAAACTTAGTGCAGATGCAAGACCACCGTTTTGGGATCCTACTTTGTAATGCAGTTTAGCAGGTGCTCTTCAGTATCTTACCTTCACTAGGCCGGATATTGCCTATGCGGTACAACAGGTGTGTCTTTTTATGCATGTTCCCCGGGAATCTCATTATGATTCTTTGAAGCGCATTCTGCGCTATGTTCAGGGTACCATTGATCATGGCTTATTTTTATATCTGTCTACTTCTACTCGTTTGACTACTTACACTGACGCTGATTGGGAGGTTGCCCCGACACCCGTCTTTCCACATCGGGTTATTGTTGTTTCTTGTGGACAACCTTGTTTCTTGGTGTAGGGAATATTTCAACACTCAACTTTGAGCCCCACTGTGATCATGCAATTAAGCATGGTGGCGTCCAAAGGGAAGGAAGCTAGAGTGAAAGAGTCTCCAACAAGTTTTAGGAACTTGTAAATCGTCCTAGGGTGTGTGAAGGTTACACCCCATTCACGATCACGGAGATCGCTAACTCCATAGTGGTCCGAAACCATGACTAGATATTTGGGGATGATGGTACGAATCCAACCTAAAAGAGATTGAACCCGCCCTAAATAGGCCTCTACTTAATTCTTATGATATTCATGTGCGCTTTTCGATCAACATACATACAACAAGTTAATCCTAAACCTGTTTAATCTACGTTGGTTAATTACTAATGCACAAATAAATCTATTACTGGTGATCACTTGATATTAAAATCATATTAAGCCTAAAACAAAATTATTAATTATCTTATTAGGCGTGATATCAAATACAAATTCCCTTTAAACCTGCAAGAAGGGCGTGATCAAGCAATAACAACATAATCAAGCAACATAATAGTTATTGACACAACAATCATCAATATATCATAATCAAATCATCATAACATTATTAAAACATGATTAGCAAGATTCTAGGCATGATACTAAATGGATTAAAAACAAATCCTAGCATGCCACTAAATAAAAATCATAATCAAAGCATTAGCCTAAACATGATACTAGAAACATGAAAGCCTCTTAACATAATACTATAAATCATAATAATATTCTAAGCATGATTTTTATATCAAAAGCAAGGAATAAAAATTAGTAGATCTACTCACTTTGATGCCTTGTATCTCTTTCTATTAAAACAATACACGCGTTAGTAACTTCAAGAAAAAAATAAATCCAAACTAATCAAATAAATCAAATAAGAATTGAAATAAGGATTAGGGACCAAACCCTCAGAACTATCAACCTTTCACGTCGAGGTCGAAGGCAACTTCGAGAAGGGCCTAGAGTATTATATTCAAGTCTCGCAAAGGTCGTATGGTGTGTGATGTGTTTAGACTAAGGCTAAGAACGAGAGAGAGAGAGAGAAAGAGCTTAAAGTTGGAGAGAGGAATAGATGATGATTGTTGGTGAATGAAAACGGAGGAAAACGACCCTATTTATAGGAAAAAACAAGGGAAAAGATAAAAAAAAGAGTCAAAATCCGACTCGGGGTAAAACTCCTTTCATCGCATGACGATGGTTCCATCACGTCGCGATGCCTATATCCTAATGGGATTAGGAATGAATTAAGGTTAATGGACCCTCCACATGGTCATTGGGTCGTAGGTAAGGCTCGGTTTGGGCTTGATTTAGTATTTTGGCCATAACTTCCTCGTTATAGCTCAGATTTGGGCTTATAATATATCGTTGGAAAGCTCTTTTCAAACTCCATTCAACTACACAATCATTGGACCCAGATTATGGACAAAAAAAATTGGTTTGGACGTTTTTATAAATAGGACACGAAATAAACGATTTGAAAGACACGAAATGAACTATTTTGGGTTTAAAGACACGAAATAAATGATTTTGGATTAAAACATTTAAAGAAAGATTAGAAATGTGTTTAAGGCTTAGGAAATTCACGAGACTCTGAGACTCTTCAACTCTTCACCTAACTCAATAATAAAAAAAACGTGAAAGGTACTCATCACTGGGTTTAGTTTTTGGGGAGACGCAATCAGGTGTTTACACTTGGTCATCTAAGCGTCAACCTACATTATCCAAATCGAGTGCAGAAGAAGAATATCGAGGCGTCGTAAGTGTTGTCTCCGAGGCTTGTTGGCTTCGTAACCTTTTATTGGAGTTACACTGTCCTCTTCGTCAGACTACTATTGTTTATCGTGATAATGTCAGTGCTATCTACCTTTCTAGTAACTCGGTACAATATCAACGCACCAAGCATGTGGAGATAGATATTCATTTTGTTCGAGAAAAGGTTGCATTGGGTCAAGTTCGGGTGCTACATGTTCCTTCCAGGTATCAGTTTGCGGACATTTTCACAAAAGGCCTTCCACAGGACTTAATTTTGGATTTTAGATCCAGTCTTAGCGTACGACCTCCTCCCGCTATGACTACGGGGGTGTGATAGATATACATTTATGATAATATTTGTCGCAGATTAGGATAATTTTTATATATATTTTGTATCCTTATCGTACTAGATTTCCTAGTCTTGTAAAACTCTATATATATTGATCAATGGTATACACTCCACATTGAGGAATTTTCCCGAAATCTAATAATTAGTATGAGGGTCTTATTAGATTCCCCTTATTATAAAAATTTCAAATATCAACTTTTATAATTTTCACTTATACATAGCCGAAAATATTCATGGTCAAAGATGTTCATTAGAGACCGCGCAAATGTAAAGTGAGTCGAACTTTCAGGAATGGAGGGAGTGTATCATTTGATTTTGAAAAATAGAAAACCACATCGATATCAAACAAACCCTAAATTTTGGTCATGGTTGTTGCAACATTTTAATTTTCACCTACTCTCTCTTCATTCTACTTAAGTGTTAGATACTTTTCTTTTTTTTTTTTTTTTTGCAATTATTACCTTTTACGGAGTAATATGTTAGTTTTCTCTTCTTACATCCCTTACATACCCTCATTAATGTTGTTATCAACAACCAAAGCTCCCTTATGTTATTTTTCTCTTCTTACATGACTAGTTATGAAACGTGCGTGTTAGCCGCCTTAGTGATCAATAAAAGTTTAATTTAGGTTGGGATCATATTACCATAACATCACACTTATAATATATGAATATATACACTAGGTAATAGATATGGAAAAAGAAATTAAAGCTAAGAAGATTATGAGGCTCCTTAATTAATTAATATCACACTTACCCATAAACCAAATACTTGTATAAAGGCTCATAATTGCATACATAGAATACATAGCGTCATAGCGGTATCGCCATTTCTCTAAACGTTTTACACTTTAATTTGACTTTTAGCAACTGTCATTATCCATAACATCTACTTTGACCATTGTTTGTAATTTGTAATACTCGTATATAAGTGAGAAAAGTTATATAGATTTTGTTAGCTTTGTTTGAATATGCAATTTCATGATATAAATCAACTTTAGACTTCACAATTTTTACTACTACATGGTTAAATATGTGTTTAAGTATGTATATGAGCATAAAAATTATAGTGTAAAGAATGTAAAAAACAATGTAATTTTTTTTTACCTCGTATACTTCGTACATTTGTTCAATTTATTAATTATTAAATTTGGTTCTATCCCATAGTAACTATAGCTAGTATGGATACTTATATACATTATTGTACATCTCGTATACTCTCTTGATCTAAGCTTTTGAAGTTCGTATGCTTTTCTACATTATTGCTTTAGACAATTAAATTAATTATGCTATTGAGTAAATACATCCGAGGAAGGACAAAGAAAAATCTAATAAAGAAAATTAAGAGTTAAACTAAAAGCTCCTAAGGAGGAATAAGCCGCACTAAGGTCACGCACTCACGCCACTAACGTCCTCATTTAAGATCCTCCGGCAGTTAAAGGAGCCGCCCCTTTAAAAATGTCAAACCTATATAATCTATGACTCCACGATTTTACAATTCAATCCGCCGCTAAGTCGCTTGATTTTCTTCTTGAACAACACGAATCACTTTAATTAACCTCCCAATCCTACCTCGATAATCAAATCGTGATAGTAACGAATCAAGTGAGCTTACTTGCCATTTCTATTCGCATCTCCTTGAAGAGCTTGCACACATGCTAAGTTAATGTAATGGCTTGTGATAAAGGTGACCATGACCTAAAGAGTTGATATATTACTAATTTATTTTAACCTAGTTCTGCTATCCATTCAAGTGGACCAATTTTAAAAGCTCATTAAATAATAAAGTATTGGGCTACACTAAGGGCGTGTTCCGATTTACTGAAAACAACTGAAGTGAAGTGAAGTGAACTGAATTGAACTGATTGGGGCTGAACTGATCTGAACTGATTGGGACTGAACTGAATTGAACTGAACTGAAATGCATAGAGCTGAAATGAATTGTTTATGAGAGAAGGAAATTAGGAACTGAACTGAACAGAACTGATTGAAGCTAAGCTGAGATGAACTGAACTGAACTGAAATTAAGCTAAACAGAACATGCACTTAATCCATTAGTGTTTTTAAGGGTTAAATGGCTTGAATATTCAAACTAAGCTAGTAGAAGATAATACGCTTTCTGCCTATCCAACATGGTAACCTATAGTATTAACATTCCTTTTTCCTTACCATTCATTCATTTTTTAAGGGGGAAAAAAACCTTTTTAATGTAAATTCTTCAATTTTTGCTAGTTTGAAGAAAAAAAATTGAGTGGGCATTAAAAAATAAATAACATAATGAAAAACAAGATAGCTAAAGCCGGAGAGGTTGAATCGAATGATGTATGATGAAGTTTGACAAAATAGATTAAAGTGAAAGCGTTGTAAATAAAATAAAAAACAAAACCTAGACATAAGAAATAAGAAATATACATGTTAAAAATACGTCTTAATTTCTTCCGACATAAGTGGTAGTTGTTTTATATGGAGGATGATTGACAAGGTGCTAGTATAAGATTTTATTTAATTTATGTACTCATATACAATCTCATCAAAAGTCCATTGAAAAGAACAACCATTATTTGTTTAAGCGCATATTTATAACTTATCAATAGATCTACGTGTTTGGATTGAAATTGTCTACGTAAGATATTTGTATACCTAATTAAAATACTTCTAAGGACGAGACTAAATCGTATGTTTTCTACCAATTTTCTTAAGAAAACGACTTGTCACAAGTATTTTCAACATTCCCTTTGGAAAGTGCCAAAAGAGGAAATCACAAAATTCATAACGCCATGAATGCGACGTCGTTTAATAATGTTTTCATATTTTGTATTACAATATAATATCGTATTTTTGATAGGTACCGATTAAAGTATGTGGCAAAATATTGTTTGAGTCAAAGATATAAAA